AAGCTGCGGGAGATTTCACTTGTCATGTTTGCATAGTAAGCTAACGATTAATAAGACGATGTCAGAGGAATTGGTGCGCAAATTATCATCACTCACAGATCAGTGCTGTCATTGCAAAGTGAAAGCAAAAAAAAAAGCGCAAATTCAAACGCGATTTCAATATGTCACATATTGACAGTGGCTCACCGATGCCAATGACATAATTACCCAGCTACATTTCTGAAAGAATGCAAAAGCATTGACATATATTTTTCCTACAATAGCCCGACGGGCAGGGAAGAGATAGATTTTGGTAGCCCGACTGAAAAAAATCGCTAGCCCCGGGACGTCGGGCTAGCGATATTGCGAGCCCTGTATCTGATTGAGGAATCACTCATCTTTGGAAAAGAGTTTATTACAGAGAAATGTCTCTTTCCAAAATAAAAGCTATACTATCCGCTTCTTCTGGGCTATATTCTCAGCAGCATATTAAACAGCTGTCTAAATGACTCGGCTAAAGTTAGTAGCATGCTTGTTGTTTTTGTCTTTGCACTAGGATGATGTCGGTGTAAATGTGCAGTCATATTCGTTGTGTTCCCACTAGTGCTTTCAGGTTAATCTCGTTGAAATGACCTTAACGCCACAACACGGCAAATCTCCGTTAACGAGCTACCGCTGATTGCCCCGTGCATGGGGCTAGACGGCCAACACGTTAACGAGCTAACTGCGCTAACACACTAGCTCCCACCCATGTAATTGAGCATTGCATGGCACATCCAACATACTGTTTTACTTTAGTCCATGACTCGCTTACCTTCAGGGTCATACGTCACATGAAAACCAAAATAATTCCAAACGCCAGATATGAATGAGGGTGGGGGAGGTCCATGTTGCAAGGAGAGCTTAACTTCTGTCTCGCTAGCTTGCCCTGCGCTCTTCCTTCTGACGATGCTGTCTGTGTTGAGCGCTCAGTGAATCTGCGTTCGACTACTCCGCCTAGGCTGCACTGTCGACCCTAGGCGGAGTAGTCGAACGCAGATTCACTGAGCGCTCAACACAGACAGCATCGTCAGAAGGAAAGTTGATAAAATAAATTACAAATGTTGTATTGTTCGATACATATGCGTACCGAACCGAAAGCACTGTATCGAACGGTTCAATATCGATACGAATATCGTTGCACCCCTACTGCCTACATATTTCACAACCATAGACACCATCACAGAAATGTGCGACGGTTTCTGAGGACGTGGGACTTCCTGAGGATCGGTCGAAAGCCACTGCCACATTATTCATGCATCAGACATTATAAGGCAATGGACAGCTGCAAGGACAGCACTGCTTACGCCTACTGTGGCCAAAATATGCTCCTATACAGCTCTGATGTAAACCTCAGAAACATATAAAGCTTTTTCCACTTGTCTAATAAGCTCATTCTCTCCCTGCTTTGATCTGATGCTCCTGTATTTAGTTCAGTACAATAAACTTCATTTTGAATGTAAACTGATACACGCTGTTCACTCTTATTTCTTGCACCTTCAGAATAAAATGACCCCCTTCTGTCTTTTTGTACAGCTTGGTTAGATAAACGTTCATGTAAAGTTAGATGGTAAAAATGAATTATTTCCAGGTAAGTGAGCTTCAAATGAGAAAGTCCCAGCGTCATATTTTTAGAGCTTGGAGTGTTCTAGTGTAGCTTGGCATCATATCTACGAAGCCCCTCAGTTCATCCTCAATCAGCATTGACTAATGGCCCACTCTCTCCTAATTGGAGAACTTTTGGGAGCCTGCTGTGAGCTAGTCTAGAAGAACCGTTCACTTCCCATTAATGGTAAATGGCCTGTACTTTAGTATGAACAGCTGGAAACCATCTACCCCCTGAGACTGACAGACCGTCGGGTTTGTTTTTATCTTCAGAGTCTTATTTAAACCAGATGCTAACAAACTAAATGTTTGAGAGAAGATACGGCCTGTTTTCAAGTCTGTTTTCGTGGATACCTTCTACTCGTGTTCAGGTTCCGGTGGGTGAGCGTCCTTTTGCAGCCAAACTCAGCTGGCTCCTCTAAACTCCTTTAAAGAGCTAATCAAAGTGTTAGACATCGTTTCAGAGTGTGACACCGAGGTGAGGGTATGGTGGGTGTCTGGGGGGCTAAAAATGCTGTCCAACACACATGAACACACATGAATCAACGCTACATATGAGCGGGTGGAGGGAGGTTTGCAGTCTTCACACCCCCCGTTCTCTGTTGCCTGTTGGGGCGGGGGTGCTGGGAGGAGGAGTTGGCCGTCCGACTGCGGTCTGGAGTGTGGGGCCTCCCTGCTGCTGTGGAGTCGGGGTGGTCTGCCTCCCCCCACCGCAGGGAAAAGGGTAACACCACCTGGGTCTGGGTGCAGTTTCCCCCCCCAGGGGGCAGTACCTAGACCCGGTTGGTAGAGTACGCTTGGGGAGTGTGATCGTGTGTACAGCGTCTCTTTATGTCTGTCTCCACGTTGGTTGAGTGTGGAGTGAGTGCATATGAGAGCATGAGGGTGGGAATGGATGTTTGTGTCTGTGTGTGCCTGTATGTCTGTGTCTATATGTCAGGTTGGGTATCAGACGCCACCTCTCTGGGGACATCTCAGGCCCTCCAAGGTTTGGAGGCCTATCTCCACCCACCACCACTTCCCCTGCCAGTGGCGGACTCCCTCAGACATCGGTGCGTTGGTGGTTCTTTGTGTCTGGGGGTGGGCGTCCAGGTACACACCGGCTCACTCCTTGGCGGCCGCTTATCGGGGCCTGGAGCCTGGGGCTCGCTCGGGCCACTTCGGAGGTGGGGTTAGAGACCATAACGCTCGCATCCTATCAGCTGGCTTGGAACATTGCACGGGCTAAAAAGCCACACAATGAAGGGGAGTTCGTTAAAAAATGCCTCAGTGACCTTGTTGAAATCTTGTCTCCTGAAAACAACAAATTAAAACGCGTGGTATCAGACGTCCAACTGTCCCGCCACACTGTTGAACACAGAATATCGGACATTAACACGGCTATTAAATCACAGTTGCACTCTGACCTTCAAGCATGTGAGTATTTTAGTGTCGCATTGGATGAGAGTTGTGATATAGAAGACAAGCCTCAGTGGGCAATATTTTAGGGTCTGTGTCAAACGATTGTGTGATCAAAGAAGAGCTCCTGGATATTGTGCCATTAAAAGACAGAACCCGTGGCACAGATGTGAAAGAAACCATGATGGCTGCATTTGAAAAAGCAAATCTGCCCATAACGAAATTAACTGCACCGCCACGGATGGAGCACCAGCCATGATGGGATCTGTGAACGGGCTTGTGGGGCTGTGCAAAGCTGACCAAACTATTCTTGACTTTTGGAATTTCCACTGCATCATCCACATGGAGCAACTCGTGTCTAAATCATTGAATTTAGATAACGTCACGAAGCCTGTGATGGAAATCGTCAACTATATCCGCACACATGCGCTTAACCACAGGCAATTCAAGAATCTCATCGCTGAGCTGGACCAAGGGCTTCCAGGTGACCTGCCGCTGTGAGGTGGCTGTCAAAAGGCCGGGTACTCTCTCGCTTCTTTGAGCTTTTGGATGCCGTGAAATTGTTTATGGAAGAGAAGGACTATCCCGTGCTCTCGGACCTCAAGTGGATTATGGATCTGGCCTTTTTGGTCGACATGCTGTGTCACTTGGACAGACTGAACCTGACAGTTAAGAAGAAACAGCTGGAAGCATCATATTGCAACTCATGAGCAGAAAAATCGCCAATCTACACAAACTGTGTTAACTGTGGAACACTTTCAGAGCCGGCACATCTGGAAAGGCTCCATCAGTGCTGAAAGGTATAAACAGGTTTAAGAGCAACATCTGCTCCATGCTGATGTTTCTCAGGAAGGCCTTTGTGTTTGAGCAGGACGATGCTGAACCGCAGACTGCTTCTATTCCAGCCTCACGGCTTCGGAGCAGAGGAGCCTGCAGTCCAGACCTCTGACCAGCTGACAACATCTGGAGCATCACGAAAGCAACAAGAGGACGAAGCAGAGCCAGAACTGCTGAGCAGCTGGCATCAGACTGGTGTTAGAGAGCAAACATGGACCTGTCCTACTTTTACAGACGTGTCGCTGCATCATGTTCCCAAGGAGCTCCTATTTTTATCACCATGGTTCATGTTCAGTTTGATATGTTTCTGTGTTCTACTGTGAATGAAATACAGTTTGAGACTTGAAGTCACTGCACTGCTTTTATTTCCATTTTACACAACAGCTAACTATTTTGTACTTGGGTTGTATAAAGATGCTCAAACATTATAGTGAAATACCACACACAGAGTAATAGTGCAGATGGAACCTCTGAGCGCACTCAGTGCTGCTGTTTATCTCTAACATTCCAGCTGGGAAACATTTAAACATTAACGCTCTCTGTCCTGCGGCCTCAACGTAAACTATTCTAGTTTGTTGCCCGACGAGCCAAAGTGAAATTAATGAGCGAGTCTTCTTCTTGATTAACAGCCTGCAGATGAAACTGATTCATTTTCTTGTGTTCTAGTAGCATCAGTCTGAATCTTGGCAGCAGATGACCTGTTTGGACAGCTGCATTCATTTACTGGTGTTACTGGCTGGATGCATGCAGTAGGTGTGGTGCTCCCAGCTGACTTTAAGCTCAAACTCTAAGCATTTGTCATGGTGAAAATAGCGCCACCTTCAGGGCACTGAAAACATTGACTCTGCCTCATGAGCTCATTAAGCTCCCTCCGTCGTACACCCCTCACAAACCGAGCCCAGGACCAGGCAGGGGTTTGATATGTCTAAGCTCCACCGGGATGTGAGCGAACGAAGCGCTTTCAGTGCAAAGCAGGAGCCGATTCAGAACTCTGGTCGTGTTTAACCTGAACGTCTGTCGCTGAAATGCAAGAATATGAGACAGAACTGCTCTCAACACTGAAAATACTCCGAATGATCAAGAAAAACCTGCAGAAACATAAAGAGAGACGTCGACCCGTGAGAGAGTAAAAACACACCATGTGCACGTGTCCTGCTCCAACACCGAGCTCCCTTTAATTCATTCGTACAATGCAAGATTGAGTTTTGCACACATGACATCAGTCGGAAGAGTTTTCAGCATCACATCTTATTTAGAGCTATTTATAGCTACAGGCTGCCACCGCTTCATAACGCGCACACAGGCCGTCATGGAGGAGCTTTAGCTGGTTAGTAATTGGATTCAGACAGTTTTAGCTCAGTTTCAGGGCTGACAGCAGCTCTCTGGGCCCTCTGGAGGAAAACTGGGCGGTAAGTGTCTCTGCTGAGAAACGAAGTCCGAACAGAGCTGTGCAGTAAAAGAGAAAAGCTTAAAATTAACGAGACGGCTCTTTCAGGGGCCGCTTCACCCTCTAACCCCAGAGACAGCAGCTTGTCCGCTCCTGCGCATGCTCGGTGGGCCTCGTGGACCCCGCTCAGTGTGGCGTACATTTGTAGGATTTCCCCAGCAGCCCTCCATCAGCTCTCAGGCTTGTCCTTGTTGGGCCCCATGAAGTCCACGCCGTCGATGGGGATTTCCTTCTCCTTGATGGCCGCCTGCACGCAGCGCTGGTACTTCCGGAAGCTCTCCGTGCACGGGTCGCCGCTCCGGTCGCCCTTCAGGAACTTCTCGGCAAACCAGCGGTTGAAGCAGGTGTCGTACTCCCGCTTCAGCTCGGTACAGGCCTCCCCCACGCTGTTCATCTCCGGGAAAAAACACCGCTCGGCTCAGAAACGACAGAGGAGCGAAACCTGGAGGACCTACCTGCCGTTCCAACCCGGTCAGCGACAACGACATGCGCACTGTGGCTCTCCTTGGAGTGCGCCATGTGATTGGCTGGTTTGGAGAAAACGGCGTACCTGCGTGAGGACGTAACAAAGATTTGTACAAAAGAGGTATTCACTCTGAGGAGAAATTACGAACCCGAAGTGTTTTTAAAAAATACATAGTTAAATAATGGAAATATTTTAAATGTTGATCTATTTACTAAAATGTACCTTTAAGGCTGCCATAATCATTTGTGGCAAATAACAATCATATATAGTATGTAGTTGTATTTTTCCTCTTCCGTTTTTCTTTGTAGCAAGTTTAAATTCATGTCCTCTTCATTTGTCAAAATGATTTCTAACAATTTGTGTTGCTTTTTTGTAGTTTTTATTTATTTAATTATTTTTAATAAATATTTTTTATGCCTTTTCTCTAATAAAACAGCTTAGTCTCTAAACTGAAAAACTTAAAGATATATGTGTTGGTTAATTTACCTTTATGTACATATACGTATACTTTTTGATATTTATGATTTATCTGTGTGTTTTTTACTTTAGACGTTTGATAAATTGAAGAAACAAACGTGTTCTCAAAACATGGCGGAGTGGCACCTCGTCATCGTTTACCTACCCATTGTGCAAAACCCCGCGAGAGTTTTTGAGCAGCTTTCCGAAATCTCGCTGTTCCCCGAGAATACGCAAAGAATCACCAGAGGCAGAAATAAGCTTATATTCATATTTATTCATCAAAGATCTGGATTAAACCGGCTCCCTCTGGTTGAAGCAGGTAAGGAAGACCCGCAGAGCTCGTTATTTAAGCTCTGACTGCAGCTGCTGACGGGGTTATTGGACCCTGCCTCTGTGCTATGCATTAGCCTCTCCTGCTGGGCCCTTCTGGTTGTTGTGGCCGCGCAGCCGGACTTCGATTCAAGCTTCACCGAGCTGCTTTGTGAATTTTTCCGTTGCTGAAAGTGCTTCTGTCCGCAGAGACGAGATGTCCGACAGCGAGGACAGCGACTTCTCCGACAACCAGAGCGAGCGCAGCAGCGATGGAGAGGCCGAGGAAGTGGAGGAGAATGAGGTGAGCTAGCCGGCAAGCTACGTGTGCTAACAGGAGGTAAACAGAGAGGAGAGCGCAGCTGCGACATGTGCGGCAGGATACCGAGGAAGAACGCAGTCAGACCTGCATAAAAACGGCACAATTTATAATAAAAAGCTAAGAAACTTTATGGGAACAAACCCGGTCGTGTGTGTATGTGTGTCTTCTGTCTACTGGTCTTATTTGATCCGGTAAATTTGCTGCAGTCGACTGGATTTATGGCGGGACTATCTATAAAATAGAGTAAATAACCAGTTTTATAAGTAACTTTATGACTGTGAGTTATTGTACCTCCTCTGTGCCCACGTTATAATCCACGCAGTCCTCTTCAGATGTTGGGGCTCATTCTACAGATGAAGTATTAATAACGTGGTCACTTTTTGGCTTCACATAAATCAGAGGTTAATGTTTTTAAAAAGTCTTTTTTGTACATTGACTTAAAGAGCTTTGGTGTTTTTGGCACCGGTGTTACTCCTGTGGCATTTTTAAAGGCTTTTATGAACTATTATTTCCTGAGTCACAGCAAAATAATACATGTAATGCAGCAAATCAGGAGCTGATCTTTTATTGTTTTCACGCTGGTGTGTTAAGTGTGATCGTGTGATGTTTTTGAAGCTGTTTTTGCTACAATAGGGTGTTAAATATGAAACACACAAAAACACCAGTGACACAAAGAGTCACGATCCTCCTACCGGACCAAAGGAGGGTTAATAATGACCAAAAACGTAGAATTCTTTGGATTAAATGTTCATATTTATTGTAAAATAACTGTTGATAAAGTTTTTCTGCCCTTGGGCATCTGTGGTGTCACCCACAGTAACGGCTCTGCTCTTACTCAAAATGAAAGTAACACCTGTGACGGTTTGAAAAATCCCTGCGTGGCACCAGACCACAGGTACTTTACACCCACTCGAACTAAAAGAGAACATTTCTGATAAATAAAGGAGACACTGGACTTACCACAAGCAATGTTTTTATAGAGCATCAGGAAAGGGAGTTGAGTGACATCACCACCGCCGTGTTTTGATTCTGCTTTTTAAAATACTTACCTGCTGTTTGTTCCTTTGGGCTCGAACACTTCGGTACAACTGCTTTAAAAGCAAATGCTGTCAGACTGATGACCGAAGACTTTTTATTTTAATGTAAAATTAAATGTCCCGTTTGTGTGTGATGTTCCTGTAAAAGCTGCCGTCTTCGACAAAACTCTAGAATATAACTCTTGAGCGTTCATGAGACTTTTTACCCAGATAAGTAAAGGATGTGCAAATGTTACTATACAAATGTCATTGCAGTTTCTCCCTCTGACGGGAAATTTGACTTATTTATTCATCAGAGATGCGTTTGACTGACGATAGGCCAACAGCCTTTATGGCACCAAATTTCTGAGTGAAAAAATAATTTGCAGGGTCTGTTCTCAGATGAGGCTCAGATCTCTGAGGCTGTGTTTATAAACCATCCCTGGAAAAACAGAAGAAGCGGAGAAGCAGCGGACTCTCGCAGCGGGACCAGAGGGGATGCAGGAGATTAATTTTCATCTGCTTTTGTTGTTGTGTCACCAGGAGGAGACGGGCAGCCCAGTGGGCAGTGACAAGGTAGCGGATGAGGAGGGGGAGGACCTGGAGGATGAGGAGGAGTACGACGAGGAAGAGGAGGAGGATGACGACGACGACCGTCCGAGGAAGAAGCCGAGACACGGAGGGTTCATCCTGGATGAAGCTGGTGTGAACAGACGACGATCTCTCAGACTCCTCGTGATGATGATGCACGTCTGACCCTGTGTTTGTCTGTCCAGATGTGGACGATGAGTACGAGGACGAGGATCAGTGGGAGGACGGAGCCGAGGATATGGATATTTTGGAGAAAGGTAAGAAAGTGAAGATGAGAGCTGTTAGGAATCCTGCAGCATGAGATTGATTCTAAACTCCAGACTCGATCCCGAGGCTCCGACTGACGGATCGTGTCTGTTTAATCACGTTGCACAAACTGGTTTCATCCATTAAACTAGTGAACAGATTACTGAACGTGCTACACGATCCCAGTCTGCTGACAGCACACCTGCTGAGGTGTAACCTCAGCTCATTTCACGTTTGTGATTGAGCCGGGGAGCCGTCGCCATCCCGCCTCCGGACGCATCGCTTTTGTTTTTCTGCCGGTTCTTATTAAAGTCCGTGTTTCGCACACTGACGTTCAAAGAGTCCGATCGGTGTTCACAACCAAAACTATTGTGATGTCGCTGCTTTGAGGAGCGGGACGAGGCCCGCGTTAGTCGTAGCCCGTCTTCAAAGCGACTTCAGTGCATCAGGGCGGCGCTAAAATGGCAGTGAGCTGCGGTGTGTTTGTGACTGAGCGGAACAGGTTGGCAGTTACGTGAACCTCCACGAGCAAATAGCTGAAAATCACAAATCTGTTGCCGTCTACACAGAACATCAAATTAACTCCAGCCCGAGCCTCCGAGACGTGGAGCAGATTCAGAAATTGCTCCACAGCGTGGTCGGTGCAGGACGACAGTTTAGCTGCACCAAGACGGAGGTGCTGAGCAGCCCTCACCCGATCCAGGAGTAGAAGCAGAATAGAAGCAGTGCCCACTGCCAACATTCGTGTCGCCGACTCGGATCATTGCAAGCTGCTGGCAGCGGTTGTTTGCGGTGATTGTCCGCTCTCCCGTGAAGCTCTGGGTTAAGTTAGTGTGAGTCCTTCTTCCCCGTCGACCGAAGTTTTAACCGAGGAGCTGCGAACGCTCGGGCCTGCAGCCCAGGCCCCCCCCAGTTCAACACAAATTAAGGCTTCTAGTGACAACAGTCACGTCAGGCCCACAGTGTGACTCCTGGGCAGTTTGCAGTAACCAGCAGGAGAGAAACAAAGTTGCACATTAGCTGGATGAAGAAAGCCAAACATGTGGCAACACTCAGCAGGAAAACAGCGAGCGTGTGATCTGCAGTTAATGAGCTGAAATGTGCAGAAACACCACAATCAACTCCTTAAATATTTATCCTGGTCTGTTCACCAGAGAGACGCTCGCTGAAAATTGGCTCCATATTTCTCGACCATCACTGTTTTACTGGAAAAGTCCTTTAAGCTTGTTTAAAAACAGCAACCAAACCAAATGTACGCCCAAAGACCAAATCTGTGTTTGTTCTCCAATCAGCTGTCAGCCTCGGATCATGTGACGTGTCATCATTTCAGTTTAATGTGTGCGATGCAGAGGAACAGACCCAGGAGCAGCTGGATGTTTGATCAGATTTTTCAGGGCTTACAGAGCGCTGCGGGCCGCACTCGACCCGCCACGTGTGGTCCAATCCGCATGACTTTTTATACCAGAGTTCGAATCACCAAAGCTGAGGCGGACCAGTCGTGCCGGTCGGCTGCTGGCCGCCGAGGTCGTTAATCGTTTTTTTCCAGCTATCGGCTGCCGAAATGGCTCGTCGCTAACGAGCAGCTTTTTCCTCACACTCGCTGTTTCACGTCAGACGTCCGTCGTCACAGCAGCCGTGTGCTGAGTGAAGGAGAAGGAAAGTCAGAGTGATCCAGTGTTGATGAAGGGCCCTGGATGTGTAGAACCTGGAAGAACGCCGATGACATCAAAACGTTTCCTGATTACTGTGTCTGTGAGGATGCGGTGGGAAACATTGAGCCGCTTCTTATTCGGGGCGCAGATCCGTCCAGAACTTTGTCAGTACTCGCGTCAACACGAACCGAACCACGGGCAGGACCCTCACATGTGTCAGTAGGAAGTGGCGCTCTTACAGTGTGATGTCCATGTGTGCAGGCTGTTTTCTGACTCTGCTCTCTCTGTCTTGCCGGCTCCTCTGTCGTGCATGCGGCCTCCAGTTAACGGTAAATCTGCTCCCGACGCTCTGATGTTTTCCATCGATGCCCATGCTGTAAATAGGATTCCAGCCCCATCCATTTGATTAAATCCACGTCCCTGAGTGTATTAACCCCACCCCCACACCTCATCTCAGCATTGCTGCA